AGATAGCCATGGTGACAGGGATGCAAGGTACGCATGGGTCCAACAACATGGGCTTCACACACCAAGGCTAATCTTGCATTGCTAATATCCAGTCTTCTAGCAAAAGAGACCAGTCCTGAGCCACCAATGGCACCATCCTTTGAGGCCAACTAGCCACTTGGTAGCAAATTGATTACATTCACTTCTTCCTCCCTGGAAAGGGCAGTGATTTGTTTTGCCTATGTGCTTCGTTATGGATTTATTATTCCTGTCTTCAGTCTATGACTAATTTCATGGGCATAAGACCTGTGTAAGTCACACAGGGCCCAAGCTCAGAAGGCTCCCATGCTTGGTTTAATGTTATTTTATTGCCACTTTGGAATTCTTAATTTTCAAGCAAGGGACCCCACATTTTCATTTTACACGGGCCAATCAATTATGTAGCTAGCCTTGCTGCAGTCTGGGTCAGTCTCTCCATCTGAAGCCTTGCAAAGTGTTTAATTCATTAACATACAAAGATCTAGTAACCTGCTTCACAGCAAAGAAAGTGGCATCCACTGGTCCTATCATTTACCATACCACCCAGAGGCTGCTGGTTTAATAGGATAGTGCAAGACTAAGGTAAGTATAGGGAATGGGACACTAAATTTCAGTGTCCCACTGAAAACTTTTCACCAATTTATGTGTGTGTGTGTGTGTGTATGTGTATATATATGTATACATGTATATGTATATATGTATATGTATATATAAAGTATATATATGGTATCTTTCTCAGATACTATAAAAATTCCACATGTATGTATGTGTGTATATATATATACACACATATATATAAATTTAAATATAAATAAATAAAATATATATAAATTTCTACTTTTTAGTTTATTTTATATATATAAAGTAGATGAACATGAAATAATTCAAGATATGCATACTAGTGAAGAAACAGGCAGAGAGGGTGAGATTCAAAGAAATGAGAAACTGAGTAAAACAATGAGAGAGGTTTCAGAGACAGAAGACAGAGTCTTTAAATGCTAGGGACTGAATAAATTCCACAGGGATAAGGATCTTTGCTTGGTTCATTCATGTACCCCAAACATAGAAAATAGTAACTTATGTAATAGGCATGTAATAGGCACCCAATAATTATTTGTTAAATGGATCAACCTTAGGGTAAAACTAAAAGTTTGAGCATGTATGAATGAATACATATATTCATTGCGTGTATACGCAATGAATATAAGTGTATTACATTTAGAGAGAAACAACTTCCAATTATACTATACTTTGCACCTATTATGTAACTAGCCCTTGCTCAGTGCTAGTGACATCAGCTTTAGTAAAACACATTTTTTTCTGCCCCAAAGGAGAGGAAAAGGTCATGCTAATGTCATCTGGAGAGGCCAGTTGACTTCACAAACATGCCTTGACTTAAAGGCTGCACTTTCATGGGGATTGTTTTTGCTTCAGTGTCTGTTTTGAAGTTTCCAAAACAATTGTCTATCAATTCATGTAAAGCTGATGTTGTATAGGCAAGGAGTGACTCACATTAATACATTGCACAAAGAACCAATGAATGAATCAGGCTTATCTCATATTAATCCATGAGAATCTTTCCAATTCTAAGAATATTTGCCTCTACTACTCTTATGTGTGCCTTCCTCAGTCTCAGGCTTCTTTGGAACTGCTAAATGGATACATTTGGAATCAAAACAAAATGGAGGTGAGTGTTAGGGAGGAATTCTCATCCATATAGGTTAACGTCTAGTGAAACATCCATGATCATAACAGAAAATGCCTTTAAAGTCATCTAAATTTTCATCTCCCTTATCCAATGAGTTTCTCCTACCTTCTGGAGAAGATAAACACAAATAATATCTTGCTTACTTGTTTTTCTAAGCATCATTTTGACCACGTGCTTCTTTGATTATCAATCACATGTCAGTCCTGCAGTTTGGCTATTCGTGGATCTGATTTTTATTTTGAAATCTCTGATCACCATGGTAGGGCTTGGGTTTCTTCCTGTGTTCTCAGCCCTACGTTTAACAATATTCCATTCAGTTATTTTTTCAGATTTGTTCCTGTTATAAATTCTCTAGAACTTGTAAAAATTATCATTATTGTCTTGCTGAAGAAAAACCTGCTGTGATGGCCCCAGTTATGCATCATCTAATATGTGATTTGGAAATTTATGAATTGATATTTACATATCAAAATTATGAAGAAACACTATCTCGTATAGGGCAGAGATCATGTGAGCATTCTGCATAGTGCAGACTTGATAAATATCAAATGACTACATGCAAATTAAAATAGCATTTTCTCACATCCTGGGTCTATATAGATAGGTGTGTTTTGTTCTTTCAGATGAGAGGTTGACTTATGATTATGAACTTTGACATCTTTCTGGCTGATTGAAAATAAATTGTGCATGTCAAATGAGTCCTTACGTAGGTATGAAATTTAACATTTTCCTGTCACTGGCTATGGGAACAGAAGAGTTTTGTTTTTGTTGTTTTGGGCAACGCTTATCTAGTAACCTCTGGTGTTACTAATAACTACTTACTAGTAAACCAACTAAGCTCCTAGAGACTTTTGCAGCTAGGGAAAGGGAAGTATAATTTACTTGTCACTAAAGATACATTACTACACTGTATATTTAAATTTTAGTTTTCTTTATTAAGCAGTAGAAGTAAAAAAAAATGATGTTTAGATCCCAGAGATAAATTCAGATCTTGGTGAGGAGCTAAACGTAGAAAATGCTTAATTACCTACTTATACTTCTGAGCAACACATGAATAGGCAGCATGGCTTTTGCTGTGATTGAAAGATGTCAGAAAAAAATGATTTTAGGGTGCAGAACTCTGTATTAGACTTACAGTCAGGAAAACTACCACATTTAGTGTTTCAGATACTATAAAAAAATCCCCAAAACCCAGCTCTGAACATGTCCCGATATACAGGAAATAATCCCATAATCACTGTAGTTTTTCAGTATATGAGATATTTGGTATTCATTTTAAGTTTAGTTTTCACTTAATTTATTACTCTTTTTTCTCTCATGAAAACTTTTCTGTCTGTGGTTACTTAAATCATCTATACCTTTATTTAATAAGTCCTAAGAAGGACTTATTTCCCATAAGTCAGTGGCTGGGCAGGAATAACTTACTCAAATTATCCTTGGTTAATGATGATAACTTTCACTTTATCCAGTGATGTATTGAATATGTTAATTTAGTTCCATACAGGTAAGTAATGTATAGTTACTTTACTTTGCTTACTGAGGGAAACAGTCCACTGTCTTCAACATGGCATCTATCAGAAGAGAAATCAGGATAAACCTGAGGATTTTTGAAAGCTGTCCTAATTCCAAGGTGTCTGATCTATTTTTTTTTAAGTCTTTACAGCTAACTGTAAGCTTTGACAAAAGAAGATTTACAAGTCTTTGAGACAATCATCACGTCTTTGCTTTAACAAAACTAAAAAAAAAAAAAAAAAAAAGCCAATGGAATCTAATTTTAAATACAGAAGTGAAAATTATCAATCCCAACTCCATATGTGCTAAATGATAAATTGACATATTTATACATACATTGATAAAATGTGAAAGCCTTTGCAACACTTTCATAGTTCCTCATCCCCCAAATGTTTGTTATTGTAAAACTGAACTAATCAAATGATCAAGAGATATTCAAGAGAATACAAAAAATATTGTGTGTATTGTGATTAAAAATGGCTTTCCAAAAGTTCAGATATCTGCCTCAATAAAGGCAGATAGTTTTCTGAATTTGGATTAGAAAAAAATAATCATACTAAACAGTTTGTAATCCTGAGAGAAAACAATTTTATGGAAAGTAGTTTAAAATATATTCATTAACCATTTCATATATTTTCAAATTTCCCCAAATAATCATTTCTACAACCTAAATATTATGACACTAACCTATGGAAAGATCTCTAAGGTATGCCATTGTCCTTTTATGATAACATATGAATTCCAGGTTCAGGTGTGTGTATGTGTGTGTTCATACATATACAAATTCATATTCTCATATTCTATGAGAAAACTATTTGCCACTTCTTTTCAGATTTTCTATCCTTCCAAGTATTTCTTTCCATTCACTTTTCCTTTTTTATGACATTATTAATTTCCTCCTCCTCATTGTTTTTCTGTCATTAAAACCAACAAAAATTAGAAATAGTAACTAAACCATTTCTAAAATGTTAATATTAAAAAAAACTGTGGAACATGTAAAGCAAATATTAAAAATGATGTTCTCTCTCTCTCTTTCTCTCTCTTCCTCTCTCTCTAATGGGAAAGGCCATGAAAAATTGAGGTAGAAGTGAAGCATCAATTTCCAAAAAATTTAGTTTTTTTTCAAAATGTTGGAAAGTCAATTCAACAAGTATTTATGGAGCTTCTCCCCCTGCCCTTGGGGACGCTATGATATAAAATAAAAAATTTTTCCCACAGGTAACACTTGATTCATTTTGATTTAAAACTGGCAGCTGAGAAAGTCTACTCAAGGTTGCATTTACTCTTTATATATAAATATTATTCTACAGTTTGAGGTTTTACCAATATCAGTGCTTGAGTTTTAGAACGCTTTGGAATGCGGGCCCCCCCCCCCACAGCAGATCATTGTATAAATAAATGAAACTTTGAAAATGGTAGTGATTAAAAAGTGATCTACATGACAATCTGTTAATTCTTTGTAATATAGAAAGAAGTATTTTAACTTGGAAAAAGGGTATATTCTGTAGATATAGACACTCAATTATGTTTTTCTCTTTTTTGAAGCTTAAAAATGTATTATTTTGCTAATTAAATGACAATGTTTTTATTTTATTTTTTGCTATGAAGTAGTTTGCCACGTCAGCATAGTAGTTTACTATTACTATAGTATATATAGTTTATTTATTTAATAAAGAGCACCCACACTTTTCCAGGCATTATACTGAAGGCAGAATTTCCCAAATAAGAATGTAGCCTCAAATATAATGTAAAAGGGGAAGAAACTAGAAAACTAATGGAGAACTATTTTAATATACACAATATTATAGCATCCTGATGAAATATTTGTTGGGAAATGAGGAAAGTTGATTTTGCTTGAGTGAAAGAAAACAGGATGGTTGGAGTTTTTCTTTTGATGTATCCGTGAATATATTAGCTACTGTGGTTGAAGAAAAAATAGGAGCGATGAAGGTGTGTTCTCTTTCTTCTTTCCTATCAAAGGAGGCAAGAAAGACAATAAATAAGGACATTGGTATGTCTTCTAGTAAAACCATTAAGAGAGAATCAGGGAGGAAGAATAAAAAGGATAAGGATTAAATGTATTTGAATACAGGCTCAGATTAAAAACAAATTATTATTTAAAACCAAAAATAGAAACATTCATTACCTTTGAAAAACAGCACCTTTCCTGCAGTGTGTTTTTAAAAAAGCAGCTAATGCGGAAGAGCTGGAGGTATGGGTGGAGCAGTGGATAAGAAGGCCAACTGTCCAAAGGGGAAGAGGAGAAATTGAAATAAGGGCCTCTCACACACATTGACAAGTGCAGATTCTGTAGTTTTAAGGGCAGTGAGGAATTTGGAACATTCAGAGGAAAATAATCCTTTCTAACTCCATGTGATGCTTATCTCTGCTTATATCCCAGTGGTTCTACCATAATCTCAGGAAATTTTTATCTAATTTGAAGGAAGATCTTAGGATAAGATTGAGGTGAAGAAGAACATAGTTCATGTGGGAGTCCATAAGAGGTAAGCAGGGGTTCAACGTTCCAGAAAATGGAATGGTCTATGGAAAAGTGAAGGCAGCTAGAGGGACTTTAGAAGCCAAGCCGAATTTCCAGCATTAGGACTGGTAAACTGCGAATGGACTAGGGAGAGACTGCTGCTTCGTAGGCGGAACACAGATCCAGGAATACCAAGTTTAGGATGACGTTAATTCCAGATTTACTACCACATCCCCTCAAGCCCCCTGCCAATCTCATCCCCAGTGACAAGCCTGGCTGTGCCTTGATGCTTGGTTAAGATGGAATCAAGCACCATGAAGGTGAGACAGTGAAATTCAATAATACATAGCATGTTCTCTGAAATCAGCCTGCTTGGGTTTGAGTCCCTACTCCACTTACTACTTATATAACCTAGGTCAAGTTTCTCAACTCTCTAAGACTCAGTTTTCTAACACAGGATGGGAATAATACTAGTACCTACCCTCTAGGACTTTTGTGAGAATTAAATGTAATGTATTTAATCCATTAAAATGTGGCTCTGTGCCTGGTGCGTAGCAAGCACTTCAAAAGTGATAACTTACTCATTTTGTCTAGGGAGAAAAAGCACGTCAGGAGGCCAGATATTGAGAACAAATGGGTTAACTCCTGTGTTATTTTTGTACTCTTCAAATCATAGTCGAGGTTTGACATAAGGAATAACAGCTTAAGTTTTACACAATACCAGACACAAGCAACACAAGATAGATCATCTGCTGTCCTTATCGACAGTCTTTCCTTGCATTTCATAGAATTAAGTCACACCTAAAGAGAGGAACCATTGACTCCGATATTGTTTATATCCTTAGTAACAAGGTGTGTAAATCTTAAGAATATTGATGCAAGTTTTTAACTCTTTTCAAAATGTACACCACTGAAGGTATGTATGTTTGGCATCCACTCCAGGCTCTGAACATTTGGGTAATGCATAAGGCAACCTGAGCCAGAAGGGTTTGGGGGATGTTCATTATTCAAAGTGGCTAACTGCTCTGTTTTGAAGTAGATAAATGGAGTTTATGAGTACTGAGACATTGGCTTATTTCAATCCACATTGTTGGAAATTTTCAATCATATCCTTGAACTTTGCAAACAGAACTTTGTTTTTAGAAGCATTTTACGCTCACATGCAAGTAACAATACAGGATACTTTTGGGTTCATAAAAGTGTAGAGAGCATACTCAAGTTTTTTATTTAAGAGTTTGGGGAGGCAACATACTAATAAAATCAACAGTGATAACTATTAATGTAATCAAGTGCAGATATTGCTTTAAAATCAATAGGATTAATGATTAGAAGAAAACAGCCTTGGGAAAAAAAAAATAGAACACAAGAGCAGTGATAAAAAAGAAGCCATTTTATTATCAACCGGTGTCTTTAAGATACCAAATCATAAAATATCAAACCAGAAAATAAAGTTCTGGTTCAAGCATAGTTTTATGTCATAGAAGTATATTATGTTTTATGTACATATTTAGAAATAAAATAAGTGATGTTAGGACTGTCTTCAAAAAAATAAAAATAAATGACTGTGATGAGGTGACAGGGTGGCCAAGGATACCAAATCACTCCCTGTAAGTGGTACGTACGTAAGATAAGTCTGAACATGGAGATGGACAGTGGTTTGGGACTTCACTGTGGGAAAGTATGATCAAGATTTCTCTGAAGGAAGCACTGAACTCAGACCTGGGTGGCATAAAAAATACACAAAGAAAGAGATGGTTTTAACCTATGTAAACATTATAAATCCAATCATGCTTGTTTGAGGACTGCATGTGTCAGGAAGGGTGTTAGTTTACTATCTGCTTATTGATTACTGCAAGTGAGTTTCAGGGGACTGGTAGTGTTACCTTTCCAACTTATCAACATTTTTACAATAAATAGATATCCAATGTATTAGTTCACTTGCTTGGTAGTACTTATGAATTGAATTAGGATTATAATAACCTGCTGTTGTAACCAAACTGCTTTCCTTTTCTGCTAACGTAAATGTGAAAACTATCATGGTAGAAGGTAGAGAGGAAATTAACAACAAAATCGACATGCAATTTCCACTCCTTGTGACTGTAAGAAATTATGTTCTCTCTCCGTAACCTTCCTTGAGATCTACCAAGCCCATTGTGTGAAAGTGTCTGATACAGACACACCCGGAGATAAACATGTCTGCCTGTGCATTTGTAATGGGAGGTGGTGATTTGCTCCTATCAGTGGTCACACATAACCAATTTTTGTTGTTGTTATCCAGAGTTAGTAATAAGTAATTTCATGCATGTGAAGTCACAGTGAGAGAACAGGAGTGAGTGCTTCCTAATCATTATGTCAGAGAAGAAATGCTTGGGCTGTGGTGCCTAACTAAGCATATGGACACTGGGATATGACAGCATACATGTCACCTAGGTAGAATTTCCTGATGCCTGTCACCTCTTCACACTCTTCTTAGGAAGGCAATACTATCTGGTTGCTACTGTTCAGTCAGTTTAAGCACAAGCTTGCAAGAGAGTAAGAACACCTGCTCACTTATTCCTGAAGAATCTCCAACAAAAATCTCATAGAATCATGAAAGTCTTGGCCAGAGAGTGGGGTGGTTTGAGTCTCGACTGTTCTAAACTTCGAATCAGGTAGTCAACTCCCTCTTTGACTATTTTCCTCCATCTTTCACTAAACCTGAAAGCATTTGCACCAGCTCTGGGCAATGCTACACCCGACTAATAAAAATGAGGTGCAATACTCAATTTATCCAGGCCCGATTATGTTGGAAGGCAGCTAACGGCAAAAGTGATTCCTGTATACTGAACAGCACTGGAGCCCCTGTAATCTAGAGGGGAAAACATTCAAAGGGCACTGTGAAGCTCAATTTACAGAAATAGATCGAAAATTGCTGCCAACTGGCCCAGCAGACAATGCTTATGCACTGCCATGCCCGACCAGGTTGCGCCTCAATTGGGGCGGGGGGGGGGAGTTGTACAGCATCAGGCATTGATGGCTTCTGTGCCATCATCCCGGAATACAGAGAAGAGTGACCTGGTCACCAACACTTGTCTTAATTAACCTGGCACCAGTCTAAGAGTTTTAAATATTTTCTCTCCACTGATCATTTCTACCCATATTAGAAAACACCACCTTTAACATGCTCAGGCTAAACTAATCAGCTCTACTATCAATTCATAATTGATCCCTGTCCATAAACAATCTCAGTATGAAATTCCTTAGACGTTTTGCTCAGATATGTCTGCATTGTGCTGTAATCTTGTCAAAACCCTTGGCTTCTGAATGAACATATTTTCATCAGAGAGATTGGGAAGGGGTTATATGTCACATGATACCAACACCTTCTGGCCACGCGTCTTATCCCTTTACCCCTAATAAAAATGTCTGAGTCTTATGTCCCAAGGAACTGTTTCAAAGCTTTTTAAGATGACCTTTAGTCAAATAGGTCAACTACTTTTAAAGCTTCCTCAATTAATGCCTTCCTGGGATGTCTTGTTTTGAAAATCACATTTGACATTTTGACAGAATTTAGCTTTGATATTCCAGCCGATTGCCCTCCTCCAGCTTTCTCAGCTACCAGGCACTTGAACTTTCACTCATATTTTTCTGCTAAGCTTCTGCTGACGGGCCTCTCTAGATACCATTGAGTAGGCTGACTGAAATATAACCTCACTCCAGGTCAAATGCCTTTAAGCTGAAAACCATTTCCAGGAAGGATGAAAATCTTAGATATTTCAAGTCTGTCTATTTGGCAGTGTTGAGATAAGAACAATGAGTCTTGTTTTTGTTGTTTTCTTTTCTTTTTGCTGTTCTGTAGCAGTGAGGAGGAAGCGCTCAAACATTCAGCAACAATTATTGCTGTGCATACACAAAGCATAGAATGGAAAATACAATGGGGCAAATTGAGTAACCATTATAGACATGGGCAGGTAAAATCTAATATTAAAAGTTTGAAGGTGCAAGGCGTATGTCATAGGTTTTTTAAATTAATAAATATTTTATTTTTATTAATGTTATTAATATATTAATATTAATATAATATTAATAATAAATATTTAATTTTTAATTAATAAAAATATAAAAATAATGTAATTTTGACTTGAATATCCGGGTCAGTTTCAGAAGCATGAACTCTATTTCATTTGCACTGATGGGTGAAAAATATCATGTGAACTTATGCCCAGTGAATTTCCAAAAGACTGCCCACTGAGTAGATTGCCTCTTATCATATTGTCTCAGAATCTTAACAAGAGTGTCTCCACTCTGTTCCAATCAGGCATTGTCCTCAAAAAGTCTACTTAAAATAAATCCATATTATCTGTAGATGAAGGGATAAAGGAGTTCCCATTTCATTTGCCTTATATAATAGGGAATCTGCTTGGCTAAAGACTACCTTAAAAGCTAGAGACAGTTTCTTGGGAAAAAACTCTGGCATTTTTACTGCAGAGAGACAGTTTCTTGGGACATAAGACTCAGGCATTTTTACTGCATAGAGATAATTTTTGGGGACATAAGACTCAGACATTTTTACTAGGGCTAAAGAGACAAGATGAATGGCCAGAGTGAAGGTGTTAGTGTGATTTGACGTATAAACTCTCCCAGCATCCCTGAGGAAAATAACTTCGTTCAGAAGCTGAGAGTTTGACAAAGATTCCAGGAGAATCTTGACATATCTGAGTGATTGGCAACCACCAGAGGCAGATGGGGTTTGGCTGGACTGGCTTTGCTGAACGGGCACAGCCCCGGCAAGTGTGATCCAAACGGTGAGGGAAGTTCAGAGTCAGTAAAGATCGTGAACATAAATAAACATCTTTTCTAAATAGTTTTCTTCATTTTTAAGTTTATTTATTTATTTTTGAAAGAGAGAAAGAGCACAAGTGGGGCAGGGGCAGAGAGAGAGGGAGAGAGAATTCCAAGCAGGCTCCACACTGTCAGTGCAGAGCCCGACGTGGGGATCGAACTCACGAACTGTGAGAGAATGACCTGAGCTGAGATCAAGAGTTGGGTTGCTTAGCTGAGCCACCCAGGTGCCCCTGCAACCTCTTTTCTAATTTTATGTTAGCTACTCCTGTCTTCTTCACAAAACCCCTTTCTGAACATCTAACTCCCTTGTTTTATTTTTTCTCTGTATTGACTTCTCAAAAGAGCCCAGATTTCACAAATGTTAAGAGGTGATGGCTTGTTTCACACTTTAAAGTCATGGCTATTTTGGTTCACAGGAAGGGAGAAGGGGCATCATAAATCAGACTGTAATACATCCAACCTGAAAGGTATATTTATTAATTGACAATATTATTATGTGCAGCTTAAAATCTAAGTTTAATAAATAACTATTTCAGATATTAGAATTAGTCTTTTTTTTTAAGAAAAATGTGTCTTAAAATATTAAATGAGTTAAAATGGGAAACTTTTTACTTGTGATTTTGTTCATCCTCTACTTGCTCCCTAGTTTTGTTAAGCAATTACTTAAATAATTTGTATTTCTCACTTCTAGGTACTTTCTAAGTATGACGTTTATCCCCAGGCATGACAAGAACTGGTTTTTTTTCTATTTTAGAATACTAAATATTCTACTTTCTCTTGAGACTAAAGCAGATTCTTTAACCCCAAATGCTCATCATCAATAATCATAACATTCACATCAATTCTCTCCCAAGATTTTGACTGTCTTTCTGTGCTTCCTCATTCTGGACTTTCACCCACTGTACCAGTGAAACTTGCCCTAATTTCTCCTGCTCAGTACTAGATCAGTCAGCTCATGATGAAGAAAACTTCATCATTAAGTGGATTAATGCACTGAACGTGGTCACAATACTATTTTTTGTGTAGTTGAATTAGTTATAGGCTAAGATAGAGAGTTAAATATGTAGCACCTCACACAAGCTAGAACTTTACTTTTTTCTTACCTGTCTAGAGTAGAAATTAAGGTTCCTTCTGTTTCATTATTGTGTCTTCTCAAGGGTGTTGTAGTCAATCAGGATTGAGGCTGGGTCATCACCATGCTAGCATTTTAACCTCCTAGAAAAAGGAATGAGAAACCAAAGGGAAAAAGATATCCCCTTACGGAAGTTATACTGCAACGTCATATTCCTTTGGAGAGAACTCAGTCACGTGGCCACACCTAGCTACATGGTAATTTGGGAATTACAGTCTGTAGCTGGGACTAAAATGTTCTGGCTCTAAAAAAAGAAGGAGAAGGAGAAAGAGAAGGAGAGGAGGAGGAGAAGGAGGAGGAGGAGAGGGAGAAGAAGGAGAAGAAGAAACTAGAAATTGCCATAGCTTTAAATATTAGGCTGGTGATGTTGATATTACATTTTTTTTTAAATTTATTTGAGAGAGAGAGAGCAGGGGAGAGGAGGAGGGGAGAAGAGGGAAAGGGAGACAGAATCTCAAGCAGGTTCCATGCTCAGCACAAAGACCATTCCAGGGCTTGATCCCATAAACCTGGGATTGTGACCAGAGCCAAAATCAAGAGTTGGATGCTCAACCAACTGAGACACCCAAGTGCCCTATATTACATTTTGATGCTTTCTTTCTTCCTAATCTTTTCTTTTCTTTTGCTTAAGGCTATTTATGTATTCATTGCACTTCTTTCAGAGAATATGGAGGGCACATTTCAGAGAATATGGAGGGCACATAGCACTAGAGTGTAGTTGGATGTTAAATGATATTACTTTAAGCACTAAACTGAAAGTTATTTAATTTACAAAAATGTGCTTTACCCTAAATGTTTAAAGACTATGTTTGTGGTCTTAGGGAAGTATGCAGTGTGTGCTTAATTAATTAGCTTTCTAATTCACCAAATCATTACTCTGTATCTACTACATGAAGAAAGCTGAGTGTAGTATTTTGGAGATGCAAACAATTTGAACACAAAGAAACTTTCCTGAAGTAATTTATTAACCATCTGAGGAAACCCAAAGAAAAAATCAGCAAACAAAGCAATGGTACAAGAGCTATCATAGGACAGAAGAGATGAGGGATTTTTTTTTTTTTTTTGGTTTGTTTGTTTGTCTTCTTTTGTTTTGTTTTGGCTACTTAGTGTGTATTTGATGGAACCTCTTTCATCACATGCCATTTTCAAAAACTTTTTTTTGCATTAGTGTTTCTATTTCCTGTAGTTAATGAAATATCCCATTGTAAACATATATAATTATTATATTAGGAAATAAAAATAATGCTACCTCTATTCTGGGCTGTTCATCTAAATTATATTATATAACCTTTGTTCTTTGATTCTGTTGATCATGAAAATGCCATAATTATAAAGTTTATAATGCCATAATATTTTTTCTCTTCTTTAATGAGACAGAAAGAGTGACTCTCAAAGTTTAATGTTTCTAATCAAATGGGAAGTTTGCTGAAAATTTAAAGACTCTATGGAGAGATTCTGACTCCAAAGTCCTTGTATAAAGATCCAGGAACTGTCATATTCCACAAGCACCCTATTGATTATTTTAGCTGCTCTTCCTCACACTTTAAAAAATTCTTGGTTTACAGAACACACTGTGAGGAGATTATATGAATAGATGTCACTATTAATAACTTTCTTTGCATAGTATAAACACCTTTGTTGTGAAATTGTTTATGCCACCAGGATCGTCTCTTGCTAGAGAAGGCAATTATTCCCAGTGGCCATATTATGACAAAAATCAATGTATTTAAAGTGCTTACGTGTTAATGAAAATGTAATCTCACATAAGCAGTGTAATTGACGTGGTCTCTTTATATTTTTACCTATTTTTAATGAGAAAAAGTTAGTGGGACCAACTGATACTTATACCTATTATTAGTAACATAGGTAGTATTATCTCACCTTTCTTGATTATGTGCTTTGCCTCATTGCTTCTGCGTTATAACTTATGTCTGAGGTTAAGAAAAAAAAAAAAAAAAAGAAAGCAAGAAAAAAAAGGAAGGAACAAACAAGGAATAAAAAAAGGAGGAAAGGAAGAAAGAAAGGGAATAAAAATAAAACAACAAAGACTGACCTTGAAAAAAACAGTACTTTATCTTGAGAACCATATGAGAGTAGCCTCCACAGTCCAGCTAGGTCCCTACAAATGATAATGAGTGAAGAAACCTTTGATAATTTTAGCCTTCCCCTCCTCTCCCAACTCTGGCTGTTATCACTGGAAAACACCAGTGCCCAGCTTTTTACTGATTGTGAACACAGTTTGGAAGATATCTTATTTTATTAAAATTGAAATAGAAGTGATAACCTTGTATTCATTTAAAAAGTATGATTTTTCAAATTTGAAAAAACACATTGTTCTTGACTTTCCAGACCTGCCTCTGCGTTTTCCCAAAGCATAGTTGGTCTAATTTTAACCTTTAATTTCATTGAGTAGATAATCATCTTATAACCATGAATACCATGCCGATTTCTTGCCAAGTGTCCCCACCTTTAACACTACCGTCATTGATGTTTATTGATTTGAGACTCCTGCATCACAGTACTTAATTAATTTCAAACACAGAAGAATATTTTGGGATTTTATATTCAGGATCCCATTGATTTCTTGTCCTGCCAGTTTTAATAAGATTTGGGAAAAGGGAAGATTATGTCAAGGCTGTCTACTCGTCTATTGGTTAAAAATGTTATAAGTGCAATCACTAGAAAGCACTTCATTTGAATAATGTATCTAAGTCTTGAAGTGATCAATTCATATACACTGGACATTAACATAGTATTTACTTTAAACATCAGAAAGAATGTGTGCTTTAAAGATACAGCATGTAGCTCACCTAACTGAAATAAGTATTTGTTTAAGTATATAATCATATCTTTATTTTACATCTCTTTTGGGTCAGACTTCCACATCGAAATGCCTAATAGTCTGAAATCCATGGGGCCTTGGTATGGCTTTCTGTGCTCTGTTTTAGTGATTAACCACATAGTCAAATACATCATTTCAAACTTTGTTCTTTAAAGGCAGTCTTTTGAAAGACTAGTACCTGCATTTCTGTTTTGTGGTACAACAGTGACAACCAGTGGCCGCTGGATTTCACTGACAATTTATTTAGGCTGACAATATATGGCTAACATTGTACAGATTAACAAGGGCCTGAGTCCACCTTTAATAAGTAGCACTCAGAAATAACTTGCTTCTTGCAGAACTTCGTTTGATCTTTTACTAAAAATAGGTATGTATCTACCACATGTCTATTTGAAAAATGTTTTATTTTATTAACCAAGCATCTGAAATGTAGTTTAACATGTACTAAGAGGTCACTGCAAATGCAAATATGGGAGGTGACTGGAAGATTCTTAGTGGGTTCATTCTATGTGCTATGTAAGCCAGAGTCCTTAATATTTTATTTTTCTCTTACCTGCAAGGGAAGGGAAGGAACTGCTAGGTATAAGTGAAAAACAGGTCAAATCACTGTGTGGGCAAACAGTTGGGGATTGTATAATTACTCACTACCTGAACATCCCAGACCGGTCTCATCTTCCCTTCCTAAAAAGTCCATTATTCCTTTCAAATGGAGAGCTTAATGGAGTAAAGCTTTGCTAGATGTAATGAGCTGAATAATGTGGAGTTCAACTTTGGATTATGGACTTTTGGAGACTCCAGGCAGTTAAAACTAATGATTTAATCCCTGTATTTGTTTTAAATTTCTTTGAACAGACCTATTTATATATTCTAGAAGCTCTCTCTGAGACACAGCAATCTAGAAATACCTTTCCCCTCCCTCTAGCATCCATGACATTACCACTCTGTCTCAAACTGTCTTTTCTCTCTCTCCCTGTCTCTCTTTTTTAGCATAGCTCCAAACCTTCATTTCCTCCTCACTGGCACTGCTGTAAGAGTGCTTATGGCAAATTTGCTTCTGTAATCATAACTTGAACCCATCTGGGGATGAGATTGGCTACAAGCTTAGTATTTCCACTTAACATATTCATGATTAGCATGCACAGAAGGAGTAGAATTAGGATGAATGTTTTTGGAACAGTACAGATAAATCCTCATAAATGTAGTACAACAGCTCTGGAAACGCACAGTGCGGAAATGTAATGAAGCTGAACTCTATAGAGAGTTTGGTATTCTCAGTACCATGCCTCTCCTAATGAACTCATTTAGATTAGAAAATGGATTTAATATTTTATTGGAATTAACCTGAGCCAGTAAAGAGGATTACAATTTCTTTCCATAAATATAGTGATATTACAGGGTGAGGTAGCATGTTACATGAATATTAAGCACTTTACGAACATTGTCATGAAGCCAAAAGGTGTAAGGTGATTATATTTTAATATAGTGGTACTGTTCTTACAATAATTAAATTTGAATAGCAGTAAAAGGATATTTTAAAAAGATTTAAATCAAAAATTTGTTGCATTTTCTGAGCTAAAATGCCATGTGATTCAAGTTAAACCCAGGGTAGAACATTTAAGTGATCAGCCTGGGCAGAAGCTCTATTTTCCCAAGTGGGATCTAAACAACAAAGGAACTTGGGGTGGGGAAGGGCAAGGAAGATTCTGGGTTTGACTCAAGAGAAGGATTATTTACTCACCTGTGACTCCTTTGGTAAAGGAGCTAGACAAAAATAGAGCTCTACTGAATTATGGGCTAGGTTCTTCTTTCCTTTCTGTCGTCTTCGCTTTCATTCTAAACTCAGGTCCTTTGTCCATGATGGGTAGATTTTTTTTTTTTTTAATAATTCATATAAGAGGCACATACAGTCTACAAAGGAAGAAATTCATGAGAGATCAAAGGACATATAGTCTTTCCCCCTCCTAACACTCTAGCCGCAAGCTACTTCTACCATTAATTTTTGTAAATCTAGCTGATGTATTATAGGCAAGGGAACTAATATCACACTTTTGTAATCTTAAGGAAAGAAAAAAATACCTGTAACATGAATCGGATCCAGTCTTAAACAAAGGGCAAGCTTTGGCCCTGGAGTGCCATTTCTACCCATTTTGTAAAGTCAGCTACTGTGCATATGTGCACCCGAGCGTTCACTGATTTTACAGGATAAGGCGCAGTGAGCACCGCGTGCTGGAGGCCGAGGTTAGGTCTTGAGGCTGTGCAGAAATCTTCTGATTAAAGCTGAACACGCGCTGTAAAGTTGCTCAGGCATGTACACAGAGTTAGTTTAAGAAAAGCTTCCCACCCCTCCTTTGTTCCACCTACAGGAGTCAAACTTCTTTTGCTTTAGCTGGGGAAAGGCATGTTAAGTGTGGGTTTCAGATTTCTCCAACCCATATACGCAAACAGTTCCACAGCTGATGCTCTTTTAAGCTTCAGTCACACTGGGGCTTTGAGACAATGCTATTAAACTGGAGTTAAAAGAAAATCAGCTGCTTGCTGAGTAGGCGGGGGTGAGGTGGGGGGTGGGAAACAGGCCCCAGACAAGCCGGCGACAGCAGCAGTCCCGAGCAGCTAGCTGGTGAAATTCTGTGGCTGGAAGGCTGCGGCGACCTCACGGAGTGGGGGTGGGGTGGGGACGAGGCCCCTTCGAGGGAGTGCGTCCTGCTCTCAGTGCTGATGAAGGAAGCGGGCTGAGGAGCGCCAACAGGAACCCAAGGAGGAGAACACTTGCTAAAGAGGGCCGAGGAGGGGAAACCGCCAGGAGCTTGGAATTTGAGGGTCACAGAGGAGCAAGCCCTTTCGCTCTACTTTATTTTCATTTCTGTGTTTTTTCTTACTTTTCGTTCGCTTTTTCATTTCATGTGTCTTATTTTATTATTTGATAGGGTAAAACGTTGAGATTAAGATTCTTAACCGTAATTAGCCCAGGTATCCATCTCCCTGCTAGGATGGAGGGTGGTTGAGTGGGCAGTTATTAGCAATGCTACAGAAGTAAACAGAGATACCCAGAAAATGTTTCACTTTTGCATTCCCTAAAAGGTTCTGGCAGCAAGACATAGTAGGCTTTTAAACCAGGCAAATTAGCTTGGAAAAGGATTTTCTAAATTTCCTTATTGACTTCTTTAATATATCAACGATTAGTCTGGCTGACTTAGTTCAGAGAGCTCTCTTGGTGTGAAGAGAATATACTCTGTGTCTACAACTTTCTATTTTCTGGTAAGAGGATAAGATACAGGAGATAAATAATCTCCCAGCAATTTTCATACCCCTGAGAATGAGTTAAGAAGCTAGAAGAGGGGCGCCTGGGTGGCGCAGTCGGTTAAGCGTCCGACTTCAGCCAGGTCACGATCTCGCGGTCCGTGAGTTCGAGCCCTGCGTCAGGCTCTGGGCTGATGGCTCAGAGCCTGGAGCCTGTTTCCGATTCTGTGTCTCCCTCTCTCTCTGCCCCTCCCCCGTTCATGCTCTGTCTCTCTCTGTCCCAAATCTAAATAAACGTTGAAAAAAAAAAAAAAAAAAGAAGCTAGAAGAGTGTCCCTACTTTCTCCTCTTCAGGCTCATGTCCAAATAGAAGCCGCTGCATTAAGAAGTGTGCAGCCTCTCTCTAGCCAGGATGCCTTTTTGGATTCCAGGAGAAGCTGATTTGCAGGCCATCTTCTAGGCTATGAGTCAGCTTCCGCAAAGGAAATTTGGCAGTTATTGGTAAACAGACCACACAGCAGATGAGAGAGGGGTGGGTAGCTACTAGATAACCTAAGGACTTTGCCCAGGAACTAGAGGAGAGAGAGATGAGGATGCCTGAAGACTCTGCCCCTGTTTTTTATGCCAAGTTCATTTAAATCACTCCCTGTCCTTACTCAACCTGTAGTGGGTTTAATGGTGACCCCTTCCCCCCAAAGGATAGTTTTAAGTCCTAACCCTGGATACTTGTGAGTGTGACCTTATTTGGAAATAGAGTTTTTGCAGATGTAATTAAGAATCCTGAAATGAGATCATCTTGATTTGGGGTGGGCCTTAAATCCAATGACTGTAGTTTTTATAAGAGAAAGGAGAGGGAGGGATTTGAGAAACATGGATGCTGAGACACAGGGAAGAAGACCATGTAAAGATGGAGGCAGAGATTGAAGTTAAGCTGCCATAAACCCAAGGAATACCAGGAGAGTGCTTTCAAATCAGTCTATTTGTTTATTTTAGAAATTTCATATTTTAAATCTTTTGTAGACAGAGGATTTACAACAAATTCTAAAGTACACAGAATAATAATAGAGGGAACATCCATGTATCCACAATCCATCATCCAGACTTTAGAATTATCAATTTGACCAATCCTGTTTCACACATAGTCCCCGTAACATAGAATCCTTGCAACATGCAGAGTAGGTTTCTTAATTCCTGATTTGTGTGTTTCTGACTCTCCACTCTCATTTCCAAGACAGTGGTGCCTGGGAATTTGCAAGTTGCTGAATGGCTCTTGAACAATTACTGACAGATGTGGGGCATGGAAGCATAACTCCTCTGTATTGGGTCTGGAAATGTCAAAGGTTTAATTTGTACTACTGACCTCCACTGTAGGATCATGTTATAACTACTTTCTGTAGGACATTCCATGAAATCTCACCTGTACTCCTCACTCTTATTCTGTTTTCCCTGGCTAGCAGTGCTAACTTGACAAAAGGGGACCATAAATCCTTGTCACCAGGTCTGCTTTAGGGGAATTTGACCTAATACCCTCACCTCTGAAGACCCTACTGCATTATATTGAAATAATCCCCAGCATTGTAGCATTTAAACTTTATTTCAATACATATCTCTAAAAGTTAAGGACTCTTAAAAAATGCATTACTGTCATCACACTTGAATATGACAAAATTCCTTAATACATAAGATACCAGTCAGTATTCTAACTTCAATTGCCTCATAAATATAATTGTTTAATTGTTTGATTCACTTGATATGCAAACGAGGTTTTCACAGTACATTTGATTTGAATTGTCTTTTTAATCTCTTAATTTAGAGGTTTCCTCTCCATCTTTTCTTTCTTTGATGTTTGTGTGTTAGAAAAAACATTGTGATTTTTCTTTAGTGTTTCCCAGTCTGGATTTAGCTGATTGAATCTTCATGGTGTCTTTTAGCATATTTGTCTAGCCCCCATATATTGTGTGCATTGGGAGTTGAATTTAAAAGCTTGATCAGATTCAAATGTAATATTTTTGCTAAATCTCCTTCGTTGGTGGTGTATGTCCTTTCATTAGGAAGCACATAATTTTCTTTCTGTTACTTAATTGCCATTAATAATTAATGTCTCTATTCATTAATATTTCAGGGACTGAAAACTGGTTATACTTTGATTCTTTTAATTCCTTTTTCATCTGTTACCTGGATTAATTCTGTAAAGACTAATACTTGGTTTGTCTATTTGGTTATTGTTCAGTAAAATTCACATAGAAAAAGCAAGATGAATATTTACTTTTATTCTTTGGATCAGTTTTTAAAATAGTGGGTTAATTAGTATACGTCAATGGTGACCAATTTGTTTTCTCCTTTAGTATAATTATGAATTCATTAATTTAAGTGTACTTGAAGTGCTTCCTCCATTACAGTAAATATCTTTCTTGTCCATTGTTTGGCCAATGGAAGCCCAATCAAATTGACTTGTTACTCCTTTTGTTATGACTAGAGTAGTTTTTGATATCTTCCTTGAGACTTAGGAACTTCCATGATCATTTTGTATGTATTCAGCTCCATAGCTGGAATGGACATTTTTCCAAGGTGCCCTTTAATTTATATGCAAGGGTAGGTCATTAATTTTAGGACTCATCAGTGAGTGTAGATAGGATTTTTTTTTAAGGTAAAATATATTATGAGTTCAACTGATTTTTTCAATTATAACTCAAAACTACTGAATTTTCATTTAACTGATTCTAATATTATTTCAAATCCCCTTTCTGCCACACGCACAATGCCAATTCCCAACAGTGCTAGCAGTGATAGATTATTATCTGCTTTATCCCACAAAATATACAAAATTCTCCATTGATATTCACAATTTCACCAACAGTATGATTATGGAAATCAGTGTATATTTTTATTTTTGTTTTAGTTTCATTGCTATGTTAAAAGCTCATGAAATATCTACCCCCTGGGTAGTTATGCCACCAACAAGTTACCCAATTTTGTTTATGTGTTTATAGTTATTTGTTGTATAGTTTTTATTTTTTCAGGATTGTGTGTGTGCGTGTGCATGTGCGTGTGTTTATGTGTATCCAAAGATATATTGCTCCTATTCGTTTGCCCACGATCCTAAACCCTTGGTCTACCTATTGGTAAACATTTTTTTTTAATCTCAGTTTTTCATCCCATTGCTTGTTTATCAAATATAAACATATATATTCATGTCCTTTCTTAGGTAAACTGTAATATATTCACTCTTTTTCTACCTTGCTTTTTTCAATAAATGATAGATGTAAGAAGTTACACTAAGTAATATATAGAAATTTCCTTATTTATTTGTAAAGTAGCAGAGAGTTTTACCTTGTGGCACATATAATAACCTATTAAATAAGTCCCATATTGATGGATATTTAGGCTAATTATCACTATTTTTTGGCTAATATAAAACAGTTCTTCAATAACATTGCCCATATTGCTCTTCATATTGTTTCTGCTATATCTTTGGGATATATTCCTAGAGATGGGATTATAGGTCAAAGGGCAAATGTATGTGTAATTTCGGTAGATATTATTAAGTTTTTCTTCATAAAAATGACACTGCATTAGGCAGGTCTATTTTTGTCTACTTAAAAAAATTTCTTTGAATGTCTTTATTTTAGGAGAAACAGTGTTTTATTTTGCTTTATTTATTTAAAGTTTATTTATTTATTTATTTTTGAAAGAGAGAGAGAGAGAGAGAGAGAGAGAGAGAGTGAGAGAGCATGTGTACACATGAGCAAGGAGAGAGGCAGAGAAAGGGAGAGAGAGAATTCCAAGAAGGCTCTGCACTGTCAATGTGGAGTCACATGTGGGGCTTGATCTCACAAACCATGAGATCATGATCTGAGCCAAAGTCAAGAGTTGAACACTCAACTGACAGAGCCACCCAGGTACACCAAGTTTGCTTTACTTTATGTAAATGAGTTACACTTACTTGATATGTATTGATAAGAACAATGGATTTAACCTTACCTCTGTCTTCATATGTTATATGAATAAGCTTTGTCTTTTTCTGTCCAATGAACTAAACAGGACATCTAGTGCCTTTGGAACATAATAAAACATTTCCACAAATATTTTGTCAGTTATAATCATATTTTGAGAGTATACTTTTTTAGAATTTCTTGGATAAAGAAGAGAATTTAAC